TGTGATACCCATTACCCAATGTATTACCAATTGGGGTACCACCATGTACCACAAAATTTTCACTCGTCTCCTCATTTCCCAATCCATCTTCTCCGGCCACCTTGTGATACCCATTACCCAATGTATTACCAATTGGGGTACCACCATGTACCACAGAATTTTCMCTCGTCTCCTCCTTTCCCAATCCATCTTCTCCGGCCACCTTGTGATACCCATTACCCAATGTATTACCAATTTGGATACCACCATGTACCACAGAATTTTTACCCGTCTCCTCCTTTCTCAATCCATCTTCTCCGRCTACCCCTTCATTGTTGCAGCCACCATCTCCTTATCTCCCTTCTCCCTTTCACCTTCCGCAACACACGCATGCACCCCTGCACCACCGTACGAACTAACACAAACACAGGGACGAGGAAATAGGCAAAGCACACCCGAACCTTCCCCTTCGCACCGCCTCTGTCGTGTCTCGTCTCCGTCGTCTGCCTCGTGAACCACTCCAGGAAGTCCCAGTCAATGCTTTGAAGCCATCAAAGAAACAATCAAAGCAAAACCAAAAAGGGTTGTTGATTTCATAGGGCCAAATCAAAGAAGAGAGATAAGGTTTTCTAATAAAGGAGAAGATGAGATGGTTGTAGAAGATGAAACCGTCGATGAAAAAGTAGATGGGGGTGGTGAGGGTGGCCGGAGAAGAAGTAGACGAAGGAGAAGAGTACCTAAAGCATCTAGGGTTTTATAATTATAACATTACCAATTTACCCTTTATGTTATTTTAGGATATAACATTAATTATTTAAATGATTGGCTCATATTGGTTCTCACAGTTACCACAAACAACTCAGTTCTCATTTGATTAAGCCCCTATATATATATATATATATATCTATATATATGTATATGTAGACTTGGGATCATGTGAGACCAAGGATTTTTCGTGAGATCCGTAAGACCAATTCTTAATCCTTGGATTAGATCTACAATCTAAACATTTATAATCACAAAATTGTCACGAGACTTCTCAATAATCACAAATTGCTACCGTGCAACTTTAGATGATTAGATCATTTGTTTATAAAGTTGATCAATAAACATAAATTGGTCTTACGGGTCTCACACGAACCCAACCCTATATAATATATATATATATATATATATATATATCCATCATACTTTTGGAATAAGTTGTCAGGAAGTATGAAATCAAAGTGAAATTCTCTCTTTCCTCAACAAACCTACAAAAATCTTTTGAACCTTCAAAACAAATCTCCACTAGTTGAAAAATCACTACAAACGCTATTAAAAAACTGGATATCACCGATGAATTTTACTAGCGGAATTTTCATCGGAAAATTACCGACGGGTCCCAAAAAAAAGCCACAAATTCATCATTGATTTTTTAAAAAAATAATAATTTATTTCGATAACTTTCTCGACGCTTGTGACAGTTTTTTACTTATCTATAATTTTAAAAAACCGTCACAAATTCATCAAAAATCCATCGTAAAATTGGTCTAATTTTTTTATTAATATAAATAATTAACATTTTCAACAGGTTTCCCACAAATATTTATTAGCTATTTATTTAATTAAAATCTGTCGAAAAATTATTTAAAAAATGTTTATTTATTTATTTTCTTCTGTAAACTATTTTTTTTTAAAAAAGAAAAAAGTATTTTTAAAATTTCGTACGAGTTTTAATTTTTTATTTAAAAATTTAAATTCAGTTGAAAATCGGTTGAAAAAGTTTTTTAGAAACTGTTTTTTTCTACTAAAAAATATATATATTTTGAAAAGAGAACAAAAAAAATTATTTTAAAAATTTCGACGAATAACCATATTAGGTATCTATATATCTTAGTAGTTTTTATTTTAATTCACATAAATTTTAAATTCCAGGATTTTATATTAATAGGGGTTTTTTTTCCTTGGAACAACTAAATTTCTAACAGATTAACCATAAGGGTGGTGCCTGATTAGTTTGAGCTTGGTTCCAAAGATCAAAAGTATCAGGAGGTTCCAAGTTCAAATCCAAGGAGAAATAAAAATTCTCTTGTAGCCACGGAGGTTCAAACGCGATGACTCCAGGCTATCTGCAAAACAGGTGGTTGTTCTGGGATTAGTCGGCTCGTATAGTGGGCTGGATATCCAGGTTAATAAAAAAAAATTATGACAGATTTTTAGCTAGAAAATCCATCAGTAATTTTTTTAAATCTTTTTATTGAAAATAAATTTTCTGCTGGATTATTTCGAATGGATTTCAATCAGTAATTATTTTAATTTTTTCAAATAAAAAACATTTCATATTTTAAATAAGAAAAAACAATTTTAAAATAAAACTACGAGCAGAAATTCTATCGCAAATTTGTATTTTTAAATACAAACGGTTCTTATTTTGAATAAATTTTAAAAAATTATAAAAATAATTATCGGCGAAATTTCCTTCGAAATCTATTGGTAACACTAAATCATTTTTTAAACCTGGTAATTAGCTCGAGAAAATTAGAAAACATATAAAAAAATCCGACAGATTGCTAACGGTTATATCCGCCGAAAAATACAAATCCACTAGCAAGTGTGTTTAGGGGGAAGGGGGCGTATTTCCCGCTGACTAATCCGTTGGAAATTTGGTTTTTCGACGGATTTCACCATCTGAAAAACCTCATTTTTAAGTAATGGAACCGACGGTACAAATTCTCTCTTTCTTATTTTGTAGTTTTTAATTTGGAGAATCTTCTCTAACATACTATAACAATAAAATACAAGATAAATATATATTGGCCTATTTAAATATTACTCATGTCCCATAAATAAATAAATAAATAAACCCCCACAATTGATCATGATGACGATTCTTTTTTCCAGGTTATGTTGACAGCAATTTTTAATGAGCATTTCATATGAGAAAAGAATATATACAGATTAAAATATGAGACCAGAAAGAAGTGATGTTAATAAAACACGTAACGGGTATGGTTTTTGGTCCTTGTCATATTCATCCGGTAAGATAACGTTATTTGATAAGGGCTTACCCGAGTAATTAGCCTTTGGTAAACCACCCTTTAATAAGCTCTCTCCAAAGAAAGACGCCGTAACCCAACCCACATACATCATGTACCTCACAAATTCCTTCTTTGAGCATCATGATGATGATGATTATGCTTTTTGACTGCCAACTGATGTTCAAGTTGAGACTTACAAAATGAGGCTGCTTGAACAGGAGATGCCTTCATTGGCTACTTTGGTTCGCCACCTTTTTCATCTTGTGAAAGAGCACGGTGAAACAGCCCTTTGGTGGAGTAGGATCATTCACATCTGTTGTAAAATGGAAAGGAGATAATCATAACTTAATCCCAGATTAGATTAGAGACTCCACCAAAGTCAAACATCATGAAATAACATATGAATGGAGTAGAGATGAAGATGATGGTTTTTGAGTTTTGAAGGGTTTGGCTGCTAACTGATCATAAGTGTTACGAGTAAACTCATGCAAGGTGACACTTACTGTTTGAGGCTGCTTGAACAGGATCTGCATTTGTTGACGACTCCGACTCACCACGTGTTTTCTTCTCGTCCCTGGCTTTCTTCTCGGCCCTGGCTTTATTAAAGATCACGGTGAAACCCTCGGCTGATGCAGGATGATCCGGATCCCAAACCCCAAACTTGGGCAATGGCCTACCCATCTCCTCCTGTGTCAGATCACATACAAATTATCCTTAAATTAAACAGCCAACAACAGAAAGTATGATCTCAAGACTCAAGATAATTGACATCAGACAATGAGGACCTTCATACCCTCTACAGATCTTTCCTAGTCCTACATATCCCAAGAGGCCAAGACTACACAAAATTTCATATAGTTATTTAAAGCAGAAACTAATAGAAATTGTCGAATTACCCATTTGCCCACGTCAAGGAGGTTCCCTTTGGAGAGAAGCATTTCTGGTTCCTCTTTGGGTATGTAGATGAGGGGAGGTACTTCAGTTGTTTCAGAGAAGCAGGTCTGGTCCTTATTCATATCTTCATAGTCTATTTGTTGTTGATAAGTCACCTGACGTTCAAGTGCAATCTCAAGCTCTTTCACAACATGAACCATCATCGGCCGTCCTTCAAGAGATTCATGCAAACATAGATATGCAATGTTTGAAAATGTTACCAAAGAAGTTGGATTCATTTGCTGCAACATATCTTGAAAGATAATCTCGTCTAATTTCTTTTCTTTGTAGCTATTTTTCCACAAACGCACTAGGGTCCGACACCGAGAATCGATGAATTCAAAGCATAATCTCCCACATAATACTTCAAATAACACCACGCCAAATGAGTATACGTCGGACTCTTTCGTTAGCAAACCCATCTCCAGATACATTGGATCTAGGTACCCGAGGGTACCTACCATATTAGAGATAACAATTGTGTGAGGCTGATTAGCAGGGCTTATTCTTGACAGCCCGAGATCAGAAACTTTAGCATTCCAATTCTCATCCAGTAGGATGTTGGAGCTTTTGATATCACGATGCAAAACTCTCTGTTGTGTCCCCTTGGGATCATGAAGATAGCTTAGTCCCCTTGCAGCACCAAGGCATATCCTAAGACGTTGCATCCATGTGAGAGCAGGGTCACTTAAATGGCGATCGAGGCTTCCACGAGATGCATACTCGTACACAAGGATCTTCTCACCACCCTCGTCACAATATCCTAGGAGAGATACGAGATTTTCATGTGTGTAACGGGAAAGCATCGTGATCTCTTTCCAGAACTCTGAGTTTCCTTGCCCAAGAGTGCTATCTAGACGCTTAAAAGCAGCCATACTTTTCCCTTTATAGTGAGAGATTGTTCCTTTGTACACCTTCCCGAATCCACCTCTTCCGATTAAGTTGTCGTCACCAAAGTTGTTGGTGGCTGATTTGATTTCTTCGAGTTGGATTACAAGATGTTTGAACTCATTGAAGAAGATGGCCATGATCAAATGATAATGAAAAAACTGAAATGAAAGTGTTCCAAGCAATTTCAAGTGCAGAAGTAGAAAGGAGATGGTAATGATAATGCAGATGATGAAGAGCAGGAACTACACATTTATTGTATTATTAGGACTCAGGTGAGATGTCTTGAATTACATCACTTCCTTTTGCCCCACATCAACACATATAATAATAATAATAATATAACTTAACCAAATATAGTATCTAAATCAATATCTACTTTTAAAAGCTATATGAAGAACATATGCCAGCTAAAAAGATGACAAGAAGACAAATTCACATCACATCACTCAAGAACAAAAGTTCTACACAATACAAAGCAATCTTATCTTCCACTACTCAAAGAACAATAAAGTGGAGCTAAAGATTAACAATTGCATGATACCCACAACAGTAAAGTCACCCACCTTATCCCACTTAGCATACTGGCCTATGTTCTAAAAAGGGAAAGAAGAAATATAATGAAAGAGATGCCTTTTTGACTTCAAATGATCTCTTCAAATTCAAGAAAAAAGTGCAAGCAAATCACAAACAACACAACAATTTAACGTGGTTAATCGTGAGAGACGGAGTTTTTATATTGATGATCAATGGAGGAACGATAACAGAAAGGGTTATGACGGGTGTCGAGTCCGGCAAATAATAAAATTTATGAAAATAAGCCTATTATCTCTTATACACACTTGTGATAGCGATAAGTAGGGTCGTCTCCTCAGGGACTCGGTGTTAACCGTAAGTCCAAGACGTAACCGCGTGCAAATTCATTGACATTAAAACAATATATAAAAAGGGGGGGGGGTTGGTTGGAAGATTTATACATAGCCTAAAAATGCAAAATAAATTGAGAACTTAAACAATAATGAATAAATTCTAGTGATGAGTATAACTAGTTCTTTATCAAATCATGTATCATTGACTTGTATAAAAACAATTTTTTAATAGATTTTAGACCGGTCGTGAGTGTCGACACGCGCCAAACACTCCGCTTGTCTTTATAATTAAACTAACACGAGAAGCTCGATAGATTAGTTCCTAATTGATTAAGTTGATTCYAGTCACGGACGTAAAATTCAACCTACCAATCGCCTTACGCAATAAACAAGCACCAATCCTAACTAATGAACGGACGCCCGAACATTTAAGCTAGATTACACAGTCCTATAATGCAACCCAATGAACTTGATTGTCTATTAATGCACTATTTGCTACCAAGTGGAAATTAAAAACAATTACGGATTCCTAATCACAACTAGAAATTCAAATTTAGGCTAAAGGATTCAAAGGATCCTTCTCAAAACCAAAATCCCAAAAATAAAAGAACGGTTTTGAACAAGAATTGTGCAAATAAAATTCAATTAAGGCTCAATGTTAAACAAGTCTCAACAAAGTTCAATGCAAACTAATTATAATCTCATCACTAGAATCAAAAAATTAGCAACCCATAATTTTAATCCGAAACAGAAATTAAACTTACGGATGGTAGAAAATTGTAGAGTATCGAGAACACTAAGTTGAGAAATCAAAATTCATTTCTAAAATCTGGAAATGGATTTCATTTTGCTTACAACATCTTGATTCCTCCCTCTTGATTCTCCTACTTCTCCTCTCGATCGTTACCTGCGGTCCTCTTCTTCTTTTGCTGTCCAATAGAACAGCTTGCTGCTACCTCGATGACAGCCCCTCTCGATCCCTTTCTTCAATTGACAGCCCCTCTCGCCTGCTTCCTAATCGAACAGCTTCTTCAATCTCTGTCTCGAGCCACAGGTTCTCTGTTTGCCTCTCTCGGTCGACTGCTTCCTCTCGATTGACAGCCCCTTTGCTGTCAATCGATCGACAGCCCCCAATTCTATCGACTCCCCCCTTCTCTCCCAATCGAACATCCCTTAAACACACCTCCATCTCTTGTCGCTGCCCACGATCTCCCGTCTCTACCTCGATCGACGCCCACGTTGCTGCTGCTGCTCACGTCTCTCTCTCTCTCTCTCTCTCGCTGCTTCTCTCACTGCACGATTTCTGATTTGGGCCTGCTGTTTCCTCCTTCTTGCTGCTGTTTCTTTTGGGCTGCTTGTTATGGGCAGCCAATTTGGGCTATTGTTTGGGCTTCAGTGGGACTGTTTGGATGCAAGGAACCAAAAACAAACAATCAATCTTTTTTTTCTTTCTTTTCCCAACTGAAATAGTCTCATAGGATTAAATATCAATTTAATTAAAAATGGATATTTTTAGGCATCTAATTGACATTAATCTCAAGGTACTTTGACGTAAAAAATGTATAAATTTGGGCTTATCAGGTTACCTTTAATAAAGATCCTACCACACAGGCACACAAGGTGAAACCCTTCTATTTTGCACCAAGTTTTCTGCTCAAAATTGCTTAGGAAAGAAGTAATGTCAAGAACATCCTAACCCTACCCAAAAGAGGGTTTAAAACTGCCTCCACGCGACTTCATATGCAATCCTATATAGGTTGCATAAGTCCCCGTAACTAGAATTGCCGCGAACCAAGCCTCTTCTTGCATCAAAATCGCAGCAAGAACAGACAAGGGCAGAAAGTGATGCTACTTGGCCACGACTTCAACTTCGCATGATTTGCTGGCTTGGTGTGGGTGTGTGGCTATATCACCAGAATTCAACAATTTACAATTAAACCTTGCCTGATTAGAAATACGAGAATCTATATGGGTTCGAGTTCAATGCCTTACACAATAATCCCAGAAAGTGGATTTAAAAAGGAAAGGGTCAAGTCAAGATGCTCCTCCAAAGAAACTTAGTACCAAGTTCGAAATTCCCATACTTGAACTTCCATCCAACCATCGTTTTTCACTTGTGGAAGGCCTTCCAATTTGGGTCTAATCAATGTGTTGTGGGTGTTTTGATCATCCTTTGGTCCAATGATGGGGGTTTGAGGGAAATATAAATAAATACACCTCAAACGGTAAGGCATTGCATTTTCCCTCGATAGGAGCCTCAAATCTTGAGTGGTTTTCTAGTACTTTGTAAACCTTGTTAGTTTTACAACAAATTGGTATCAGAGCCATAAATGTATGGCTTCAAGTTCTGTCAATCGTCTGCAATTGCAGACTCAGTTACCCAAGTTAAATGGAAAAAATTACTACCCCTGGAGTATTCAAATGAAAGTCTTGTTTGAGTCACAAGATTTATGGAGGGTTATTGAAGAGCGGGTTAAAGAACCAGAAAACCCCACGGCCCTTACAGCACAAGAAACGAATACTCTAAATGAAGTAAAGAAGCAGGACAAGAAGACCTTGTTCTTGATCTACCAAGCAGTAGATGAAAACATATTTGAAAGGATCTCATCTTCGGACTCTTCTAAGGAGGCCTGGGATATGTTGTACAAATCAATGTGTGAATTTGATAACTTAAAGATGAAGGAAACCGAGACCATAGAAGAGTATTACACTAGAGTAAGATCACGTCTTTACCTCCCTAGATTTTGCAAATAACATGTAATTCTTTGTTTTTCAATAAACATACAAAATTAAAAATTGGAAATATGTTGTGTTTGTATTCAACCCTCGTTCTACAAACACAATCAGTGTAATGTACCATTACAGGACCAACAATGTTCAACCCCCCATAAAAAAACAATAATTCTTGCACGAAACCCCCCTCAAGACAAGAGTAAAAACCATGGGATCATTTAGGCCACTTAAAGTCCAACTACCAATATGAAATCAATAAGAAGTCTTATCTAGATAAAACTAGAGGCACTCAGTATCCATCGTACTCTTGAAACAAATCATCAAAGTATGAAATCAAACTAAATCAAAGACCGAATGAATATCACCCAATTTTTTTCTTCTTTCTAGCAGCAAACCTACAATCTCTAGACCACCAAAACAGATCTCCACTTGAAAATATAAATACAGATGATGTGAAGCCACTGTCTAAAAATCACTCACTACAACAAAATTGGATTTGTAGGACACCTTCAATCTCTAAGCGTTCCAATAGACTGTTTTATAAGACTTAATTTGTAGGACAAAAATATAAAGCGTCCTATCTAAATGTGTTGTAATAAGTTTATATGACACTTTTAGGCGTCTTAACAAGTTTTTTAGGACATTTTTAATACAAAGTATCGCATTAACAACTTTATAGGACACTTTTGAGAAAATATCCTATAAACTCATATGTTTATAGGACACTTGTTTTTTATAAGAGAGTTTTTCGAATAGTATCCTATAAAGTTGCTAATGAGACGTTTATACTAAAAATATCCTAGAAAACTTATTACAACGCCTTTAGATAGGACATTTTATTTTTTTGGTCCTATAAATTAAGTCCTATAAAGAGGTCTATTAGAACGCTTAAAATTTGCGAGTATCTTATAAACCCAATTTTGTTGTAGTAACTACAATGCAACGGTTACATATGCTTTGTCAAAAATTGCAGCCATAGTTTTTTTCTTTTCTCTCTCTTTCTTTTGTATTTTGTGGACTGTCTTCTATCACATATTAAAAACAATAAAATACAAGATAAATATATATCTTGTATTGGGCCTATCTAAGGGGTCATTTTATCCGACTGCTTACCCGGTAAGCGCTTATTGATAGGAGTCAATATTATGATTTATTTTGATGCGTAAGATTTTAGTATATTAAAACTTATCGAATGCAACAATTTAGTGGGTAAGCGCTTACCTGGGTAAGAGTCGTCATCCTCACTTACCGGGTAAGACTTGACGACTCTTCATCATTCTCATCGCTCTTACCCGGTAAGATTTCTTGACCCTTCTCATGTTCATCCGATGAGGAAATTTATCCGGTAAGTACTTACCAAGTATGTGTTTAGTAAACGAACCCTAAATATTAGTCCATGCTAGAAATGGATAAACCCAACAGTTGGTAGATGCTAACATTAATTCTTTTTTCTGGTTTACGTTGACAACAAATTTGGATGAGCATTTCATATGAGAAAATAATGTATACAGATTCAAAACATGAGAACAGAATTTGAGCATGTAATAAAATATGTAACTGAAAGAAGTCCACGTTACAAGATGTCAATAGAAAAGTAACCCCTCTCCAATGGAAGGAGTAACCTTTTTGCAACCCAATCCACACACAACATGTATATCACAAATTCCTTTGAGCATGATGATGATGATGATGATGACGATGACGACTTTTGACTGCTAATATTCAAGGTAAGACTTAAAAAATGAGGTTGGTTGAACAGGATATGCATTCAATGGCTACTCCTGCTCGCCACCTTTTTCTTTTTGCCCGTGGCTTTATTGAAGAGCATGGTGAAAAAACCCTTAGGTGGAGTAGGATCATTCTCTTCTGTAAAACAAAAAGAGGATATTGAGGCATAAAATAACATAAGAATGGAGAAGAGATGTAGATGTTGGTTTTTGAGTTTTGAAGGGTTTGGCTGCTACCTGATCATAAGTATATATTTAGGAGTAAACTCATGCAAGGTGACACTTACTGTTTGAGGCTGCTTGAACAGGATCTGCACTCGTTGACGACTCCGACTCACCATATGTTTTCTTCTCGGCCCTGGCTTTATTAAAGATCACGGTGAAACCCTTGTCTGAAGCAGGATAACCCAGATCCCATTCCCCAAACTTGGGCAATGGACCCATCTCCTTCTGGGTCAGATCACTCCTGCTCGCCACCTTTTTCTTTTTGCCCGTGGCTTTATTGAAGAGCATGGTGAAAAAACCCTTAGGTGGAGTAGGATCATTCTCTTCTTCTGTAAAACAAAAGGAGGATATTGAGGCATAAAATAACATAAGAATGGAGTAGAGATGTAGATGATGGTTTTTGAGTTTTGAAGGGTTTTGGCTGCTACCTGATCATAAGTATATATTTAGGAGTAAACTCATGCAAGGTGACACTTACTGTTTGAGGCTGCTTGAATAGGATCTGCACTCGTTGACGACTCCGACTCACCATATGTTTTCTTCTCGGCCCTGGCTTCATTAAAGATCACGGCGAAACCCTCGCCTGAAGCAGGATAACCCATATCCCATTCCCCAAACTTGGGCAATGGACCCATCTCCTTCTGTGTCAGATCACATACAAATCATCCTTAAATTAAATGGCCAACAACAGAAAGTATGATTTCCAGACTCAAGATAATTGACATCAGATAATGAGGACCTTCATACCCTCTACAGATCTTTCATAGTCCTACACATCCCAAGAGGCCAAGACTACATAAAATTTCATATAGTTATTTAAAGCAACAATTTATAGAAATTGTCTAATTACCCGTTTGCTCACGTCAAGGAGGTTCCCTTTGGAGAGAAGCATTTTGGGTTCCTCTTTGGGTATGTAGATGGGTACTTCAGTTCTTCCGGAGAAGCTGTTCTGGTCCCTATTCATATCTTCATAGTCTATTTGTTGTTCATAAGTCACCTGACGTTCAAGTGCAATCTCAAGTTCTTTCACAACATGAGCAGTCATTGGCCGTCCTTCAAGAGATTCATGCAAACATAGATATGCAATGTCTGAAAATGTTTCCAAAGAACTTGGATCCATTTGCTGCAACATATCTTGAAAGATAATCTCTTCTAATTTCTTCTCTTTGTAGCTATCTTTCCACGTATGTACTAGAGTCTGGTATCGAGAATTGCTAAATTCATAGCATAATCTCCCACATAATACTTCAAATAACACCACACCAAAAGAGTATACATCAGACTCTTTCGTTAGCAAACCCATACGCAGATACAGCGGATCTAGGTACCCAAGGGTACCTACCATATTAGAGATAACAATTGTGTGCTGCTGATTAGCAGGGCTTATTCTTGATAGCCCGAGATCAGAAACTTTAGCATTCCAATTCTTATCCAATAGGATGTTGGAGCTTTTGATATCGCGATGCAGAACTCTCTGTTGTGTCCCCTTGGGATCATGAAGATAGCTTAGTCCCCTTGCAGCACCAAGGCATATCCTAAGACGTTGCATCCATGTGAGAGCAGGGTCACTTAAATGGCGATCGAGGCTTCCACGAGATGCATACTCGTACACAAGGATCTTCTCACCACCCTCGTCGCAATATCCTAGGAGAGATACGAGATTTTCATGTGTGTAACGGGAAAGCATCATGATCTCTTTCCAGAACTCAGAGTTTCCTTGCCCAAGAGTGCTATCTAGACGCTTAAAAGCAGCCATGCTTTTCCCTTTATAGTGAGAGATTGTTCCTTTGTACACCTTCCCGAATCCACCTCTTCCGATTAAGTTGTTGTCACCAAAGTTGTCGGTGGCTGATTTGATTTCTTCCAGTTGGATTACAAGATGTTTGAACTCACTGAAGAAGATGTCCATGATTTGTTGATCAAATGACAATGAGAAAACTGAAATGAAGTGTTGCAAGCAATTTCAAGTGCAGAAGTAGAAAGGAGATGGTAATGATAATGCAGATAATGAAGACCAGGAACTACACATTTATTGTATTATTAGGACTATTATTTGTAAGGAAAAGTAAAATCCCAAGTGCCAGCTAAAAAGATGACAAGAAGACAAATTCACATCACATCACTAAAGAACAAAAGTTCTACATAATACAAAGCAATCTTCTCTTCCACTACTCAAAGAACAATAACGTGGAGCTAAAGATTAACAAGTGCATGATACCAACAACAGTAAAGTCACTTAGCATACTGGCCTATGTTCTAAAAAGGGAAAGGAGAAATATAATGAAAGAGATGCCTTTTTGACTTCAAATGAACTCTTTATGTTTCTCAACATCATTACAATTTATGGACTAGCAGTTTTCCCACTTAGCATACTAGCCTATGTTCTAAAAAGGGAAAGGAGAAATATAATGAAAGAGATGCCTTTTTGACTTCAAAATGAACTCTTTATGTTTCTCAACATCATTACAATCTATGGATCTAGCAATTTCTACACTAAGAAAAAACTTTAAGGAACCAAGGTCTTTGAGTTTGAAAGCACTGCTTAATTGTGATTTAATCTGTCGAATATTAGAGTTAGAAGCACTAGTGATAATGATATCGTCAACGTAGACCGATGACGCAAGCAACAAAACTGCTACCATTACCTTTATGGTGTGTTTGGTGTCCAGACAAGACAGGACAGGACAAGACGTGATAGAATAGAACAGAACAAAACATGACAAGACAGTTCAACGTTTGGTAAGATAAACTGGACACAATAGAACAAGCTAGTAGAATGACCAATTTATCCCTAATGAGTTGTTTATTTTAATTAATTTATGTAATTTATTAAATTATAATAGAACAATTATTTTTTATAACAAAATATATCATTTGAAAGTTTTCATCAAAACAATTAAAATGACACCAACAAAAAGTTAATGTAGTTTCCAATTTTTATTTTTATCGTTTTTCTACGTTATTTTTTATTATTAATATATAATAAATTACATGAATTAAATAAAAACCGTATAAAAATAATATTTTGAGAACAGTAAAATGAAAGTTTAAGAAACATAAAATAAAATAAATAAAATTTAAAGAATGAATAAAATGAAAAAAAGAGACGTACTTGACGTTTTAGAAGATAATTAAGTTTTATTTTGAGGTTATATGGGTAAAATATAAGTTTGTTTCACCTTATTCAACCCTGTTTCATGGGGTAAGGGTAGAACAGGTCTGTCCCACTTTGTTCTACTATGTTCATGTATGTTCCACATAAAAATCATGCCAAACATGAGACACAGGACCTCTGTCCTGTTCTGTCCTGTCTAGTGTACAAAATGCACCCTTATATAACAGGGAATAATCAGCATAAGATTGCGTAAAACCAGCAACAATCATAAATTGTGACAACTTGGTGTTCCATTGCTGAGAGGCTTGCTTTAAGGTCATCCAAAGACTTATGTAATCGACAAACTAGTTTTCTACCATTTGGAACCTCCATCTTAATCTCATAACCATAAGGGATATCCATGAAAATTTCCTCATATAAATCTCCCTTCCGAAAAGCGTTATTAACATCCAATTGAATCAATGGCCAAGATTTACTTGCCGTAACGGCTAATTAATAAGGTTTTCATGGTTACCATCCTAGCAACACAAGAGAAAACGTATCAACAAAATCCATGCATGCCTTCTTGTTGATGAAAGCATTTTGCAACCAAACGAGCCTTATGACACTCGATAGTGCCATCATTCCCATATTTCAATTTGTATATCCATCGACAACCACTAGATCTTTTATTTTCGGTAACGGAACAATAGCCCATGTTCGATTTGCTTCCATAGCGGGTTTACGCCATTCGAAATGTTGAACTGCTTACTCAAATGTTATTGGTTCACAAATGGCTATGACAAAGGCCTTATAAGATGAAGATAGAGGATCATATGTAACTGTGATTCTCAGTTGGATATTTGGTGGAATTTGGGATGACTTGATGTTGAATAAGATTACCGTGATATGAGGGCAATTGCCTTTGCCGAGAAGACTTACATAATGGCTGTGAAATTAAGGATTAAGATAGCTGGTTGAACATCACTATGTTAAAAAGAATTGGAATCTGTATGTTTGTTTCACATAATGTAGCTTTAGAATTGAAATGAAATATTGGTAAACGACCAAAATGCTCTTTTTGAAAATTTTAATTTTTTTTTTTAAAACTAAAAGTGTTTTTATAAAATAACTATTTAATATGTAAAACAATATAAAATATACAACGCAAATATAACCATAAGCCAAACGAAGTTATTAAATTGATGGTGTTTGGCGTTGGTTCAAATTGGTGGTGGTCCGCAGTTGTTCAGACGGCGGTGGTCGGCAGTGGTTCAGAACGATGGTGGTTTACAATGATTTAGATGTAGGTGGTTAATGGTAGTTCAGATTGGTGGTGGTGGCGGTTAAGGGTACTCATGGGTTGGGTTGGGTTGATCGGGTTGAAGACATTTGAACAACTCAACCCAATGCTTGCGGTTTGAAAAATCTTAACCCAACCCAACACAAACCGTACAGGTTGGTCGGGTTGGAGGTTCAGGTTTGAATCCAGAGAGGAATAAAAAACCTCTTGTGACACGGATGTTCAAATGCGGTGATTTCAGGATACCTGGTCATCTTGAGATTAGTTGACTCGCATAACAGGTTGGATATACAGGATAATCAAAAAGAAAGAAAAGAAAAGAAAAGAAGGAGAAATATTTAACGACAAAGATGCCATTTTTTACTACAAAATGAAATCTTAAAATTCAAGAAATTATATGAAAAAGAAAAAGGTTCAAAAAATTAAAGGATCCCTGTCAAAGTGATGTAGACAATTCATCTTGGGACCCTACCAACTGATTTCCTAAGAATGGGCAAACTTTTAGTCTGAGGTAAATGTTTTTTTTTTATTAATTTGGATATTCAACTCGTTATGTGAGTCGATTAATTTCGGGACGATCACTTGTTTTGCAGATAGTCCGGAGTCATCGTATATGAATCTTTGTGGCCACAAGGAGATTTGTATTCCTTCTTGGATTTGAACTTGGGACCTCCAAGTACTTTTGACCTTTGGAACCAAACTCAAACCAATCAGGCACCACCCTTGTGGTATTCGAGGTTAATGTTTTTTCTTGGTCTTGATAGGTTACCAAATTAAAATTACTCCATATGTTGCAAAGAACTATACTTCATTTGATTATGAAAACTCCTACATCCAGTTGTTCACCATGAATTACCTCCTTCATCTTCCTAACACCAGGAACCACATTGTCATTGGAGAAATCCATAGCGAATTGTCCTATAAACTCATTAGCAACTTTATAGGACATTTTTGAGAAATTGTCCTATAAACTCAATTTTTTATAGGACACTTGTTTTTATAGTACATTTTTTCAAATAGTGTCATAAAAAGTTGATAATGGAACGCTTTACATTAAAAGTGTCCTAAAAAACTCATTACGACATCAAAAAAACGTTATATAAACTTAATACAACACCATTAGATATGACACTTTATTTTTTTTGGTCCTATAAACTAAGTCCTATAAAGTGGTCTATTAGGACGCTTACAATTTGAGAGTGTCCTATAAACCCGATTTTGTTGTAGTGAGGTTTCTATGACTGGACCAAGATTAGATGAAGACCCTTTTAAGCTAGTTGAAAGGCAAAAGCTTTTGCCGATGCTGTTATAGTGGTGCCCGTGATGAGCTCACGACCTGTAGTAATTGAGGCTCTTACGTCGTCGAGGAAAGTAATGAAAACCGATCTCAGCTAGGAGAGTGTGAAGGAGATTTGAAATAGAAAGAAACCCAAGTAAAGAAAAGAAGATGAGCCATGAACTTGACGGGGGCAATGCGGCTGGCCGACTGGTGGAGAGGGATGGATGGGCTGGGGGCACGACTTAGAGAGATACATTTTTTCCTTTTTCGCATCAAAATTCACTGGGGGGACTTCCCTCAAGTACAACAAAATCGGGTTTATAAGACACTCATAATTTCTAAGCGTTCTAATAGATCTCTTTATAGGACTTAGTTTATAGGATCAAAAAAATAAAGTGTCCTATCTAAAGACGTTGTAATAAGTTTATATGATGTTTTTTGACGTCGTAATAAGTTTTTTAGGACACTTTTAATATAAAGCGTTCCATTAGCAACTTTATAGAACACTATTTCAAAAACTGTCCTATAAAAACAAGTGTCCTATAAAAAATTGAGTTTATAGGACACTTTCTCAAAAGTGTCATATAAAGTTGTTAATGCGACACTTTGTACTAAAAATGTTTTAAAAAACTTGTTAAGACGTCCAAAAGCGTCATATAAACTTATTACAACGCCTTTAGATAGAACGCTTTATATTTTGGTCTTATAAATTAATTTCTATAAAACGGTCTATTGGGACACTTAAAAATTGAAGGTGTCCTATAAAGCCAATTTTGTTGTAGTGTCCTTTCACAATGTCCATGCTATACATTTTTTTCTAGAACATGCATATAAAATAACACCTAAATTGAAGCTGAAAACTATATCTTTTTAACAAAGGTGGGACCAGGGTTTTCATACAAAGTGAACAACATTTACCAACTCTGTCAGTATAGACTTACGTCAAAGCTTTAGTTGCAAAAACTATATAACAGCTTCGAGTAATACAATAAAACGACACCCTTCAGGAACAATTTTTTCCGTACGATAAAACCATGAAGTGGTGGCCTGTACCACTCTATGCATCCACGTATATTAGGTCTGCTCCTGATTTTGACCTTAATTTGATGGAATAGTCTATGATTATTTTCAAACATGACTTTTGTTTCTTTTAATACATTGTATTTAATTATATTTTAAATACTTTTCGAGTTCAAGCTTTTAATGAACTAATTGAGCAAGAATCGATAACGG